TTTTGGTTATGTTGGTATCGGATTGTTTGTTGCCTAATAACAACAAGAGCAAGTTGTTGGGAAAGTTGTAGTGCACTTTTGCCTTTTGCCGCAAGAATATGGTTAAGTTCAACTTGCCAGCTTTGATGTTGCAACACATGGTTTTCTGTCGGGATCATAACCGGAAAAGCCTGTCGTATGGGATGGTGTTGAGTTGGATCTTGGTTAGGTAGGAAGAGTGTCAGTGTGGATGGTTGTCTTCCGAAGGCCGTGGGAAAGTTGGTGTTAGATGCCACCAATCTTTGGAGTTGTAATTTGTTTCAGCTGGATGATGGTGAGTACATCACGCTAGAAGAAGTGGCAAGGAAAGCACCTGAAGAAAGGGCAGAGTTGGCAGCCAAGCTTGGAATCCATGCCAGGAAGTTGAACCTCGCCGTTCAGAGTTTGGGAGGTGATGAGGAAGCCAAAGATGAAGCCGATCGCGAGGATGAGGTGGGAGCACCGGAAGCTGTGGAGGCTGAAGAAAGTGACTCGGAAGGCGAAGAGAACCGATGAAGAAGAGAAGCTCGCACCAAGAGGGAGCACGACTCCATGACGCATGAAGAGCGTGTTGTCACCTTGCTTCGTCAGCAGAACCGCATGATCGTGGAGGGCTTCGCCTACATGAAGACGCAGTTCGTCGCTGTGCACCACAAGCTAGACCAGATTGAAGCCAGTTCGGGCCATAGAGGAGAAGATGATGAAAAGTCTGATGAGTCGGAGAGCGAGTCCTTCTAGAGTGAAGCTGCAGCTACCTTGTTCGCCTTTTTCTTAGTGGTTGTATCTTCTTAGCCGTTGCTGCCGTCGTTGGATGTTTGTTGTTTGCTTTTGTTCTTGTTTTTTCTTGTTGCCTTGTGGTTTAGTTAGCTTAGTAGTAGTAGTGGGTGCTTTGTGTTGGTTGTTTTGTTCTTAGTGGTTTGCTAGAAGTTGGTGTTTGTGTTAAGATTAGAGTCCGTGATGCTCCAAAACATCCATTTGTAAACTCTTGCAAATCCTTGATTTGATATGCCTTCATTCTTGTGAAATCTTTTGAGTTTTGACCAAAAGAGTTTGTTCTTGAACCTCTTGTCACAATGTTGTTTCCCATCACCGTTTGCTTTTAATTTGTCGTACCCAAGCTTCGGGGACGGAGCTTCTTTGAAGGGGGAGAGGATGTGACACCCCGAAATCCAAATTCAATTAATGGATTAATTGAGTAACTAATCCTATTTCAATTGGTGAATTAATTCCTAAAATCCTGAAAATTCAATACTTAGGGACTAGTAATTGACTAGTCAACTCCAAAGTCAAAGTTGTTCCTTGAGCTTTGTAAGGAGTTCCCTTGTTCCTTACACTTCCTAATGTTAGTAAGGGCATTCTTGACCTTTCACTTGGTGTTAGTATTGTAACCTAACCTAGTAGACCATCTTCATTCTTCCCTTACACTTTCTAAAAATCTAGCTCCACCTTCTCTCTAAAAAGGTGGGTAGCTTTTCTTCCAAGCCAAGTTGGATCCTTGCCAAGACTTCAAGAGTTGCTTCCAAGATTCAACCTTTCTTATATTTTGGCATCTAGGAGGGTAATATCTAAGTTCATCTTGTGTTTTTGGTATCATATTAGGTGTCTTTTCTTAAGGGTAGGATCTTTATGATCTTTTGGTTTGTTCTTGAAGTAAGTTTGGAAGGTGAGCCTTGAGAGGAGCTTATTAAGGTGTAAAGTGAAGTCTTTAGTCTACAAGAGGTAACCCATGCTCTACAAAATCGATTTTGCTTACCTATATGTGATTTCTTGGATTCTACATGTGTTTTGCTATGAAATGTGAGTGTTTATGCATTGTCTTGTGAAAATGCATATCTAAACCTTGTGTTTAGGGTCCATTTGTGCCATTGCTTGGCATTTCCTTTGATTCAAGTCATTTTGTTGTATTGGGTGAGATTTGGCATGTTTTGGACTTGAATTTGAGCTTGGAGTTGAAAATCCCCGAAGGGATTATTTGTGGTATAGGGATGTACCCGCGGGCGGAACGACGGATAGGGGTCCAACCCGCCGCCCACCCACGCGGTACACAAGTTGGGCAGCCTGTACCTGCGGGCGAAACCGCGGGTAGAGGCCTACCCGTGGGTACGTGTTATGATGTTGTTGGGGATTTGTTCCCCGTGATTCTTTTGACTCGGTAGTTGGTCTTTTGACTTCCCGATGTTCTTTAGTGGAACTATTTGAGTGTCTTCTTGATGTTTCGTATGTCTAGAACTATGTGGTAGGTATCCATGTAGGTTTTTGGTGTCTTGAATCGTGCTAAGTGTTCAACATTGTGTTTCGTTGAACCGTGATAAGTCTTGTGTGTTCATCGGAACTACCTTTGGTTTACCCGCTTGATAAGCATGCTAGTTTGGTGTCTAAATGCTAGCGTGTGTGTTGTTTGTACCTTCCGATGGGTTGATGATAACTTGTGTTATTCATCGTTGTTGTTGTTGGGCTGTGACCCATTCCTTGATTGAGTATGTTTCATATCTTCGTTGTGATCCGTTGATTGATTCCTGTCCAGGGCATTTGTTGCCATGTGTGTGTACGGTACCCTCGTGTACTATGAAATTGGTGGTCTTATTGGTGGTTTGTTGGTGGGGGACGACAGTCCAGGAGGGAAAAGGTTGGACTAAGAAGTACAGGGGTCCTGGAGGTAATGGTTGGAAGAAGAAACAAGGTTGGGGGTAGCCATAGGGTTGGAAACGGGCATAAGGAAGGCATATCAACTCGTGATGGGTGATGTCACGAGGGCTTGTGTAGCCGTTGTTGTGATTTTTTCTCTTGTGACATGTGTAGTCACAAAGGCAAGTGTTGCCGCGGGTGAGTCTTATTCCTTTGCGTTGTGCATGTCGGGTTTTGATCTATTGTGTAAAGATAGATCATGCCTTGAGACTTCTTGTGAGTCATGTTGTTCTTTGTGGTCTTGGGATGTGTTCCCGTGTTATTATTGAGAGTGTTGAGTCTTGTGTTGGCTATTACTCTTGGTTTTGCACTTATATATATATGTATTCCGTTTCGAAAATGGCTTTACAACTTATATCTTACTTATGTATGTTATTTCACAAGTATTGGTGGGTTACCAGCATTATTCGCTGACCGGGCGTCGTCCCATGTTTTATTGTGTTCTTTCAGGTGATGTCTAGGCGAGTGCGCGGTCTAGTACTTGCTAGTATAGCTTTCCCCTCTCGTTTTGTGGCCTGTGAGCCAGTGTAGATGTCGAACTTTGAGGCTATGGGATTAGTTGTAAACATTGCAGATGTTGCCTGTGCATTCATCCTTATGGTGAACGTGGCATAGCACCCCGTGTTTCAGATTTTATCTATCTATCTATCTTTCAGTCTTTCGCTGTGTTTATTGTTTAGTTCCGTTATCTGCATGTTTTAAGGCTTTTTATAGCATGTTTTTAGGGGGTGTTAAACTATTACTCTTGGTTTTGAACTTATATATATGTATCCCGTTTCGAAAATGGCTTTACAACTTATATCTTATCTATGTATGATATTTCACATGTATTGGTGGGTTACCAGCATTATTCGCTGACCGGGCGTCGTCCCATTTTTATTTGTTGCTTTACAGGTTGGGTAGCTTTGCAGAGCGCGCTAGTGGCTTGTAGACTTCCTTTATTAGTGTTAAAGCCTGTGAGCCTATGTAGTTGAATTAATAGACTGTTGTAGTTGTAGTATCTGCCTGTGCACCTATGTTTGATATAGGTGTGGCATAGCATCTCCCGAATTTGTGTAGTTAGCTTCTGCCTTGCTTAATGTTAATGTTTAGACTACATCTCTTCCTAAGCTTTAATTTGGTTTTAAAAATTGTTGAAATTCGGGGGTGTTACAGTCCCCACTCCGACAAACTCCAACATTTCCTCTAACACATAGTACACGAGTGTACCGTTCATTTAATTCACAATCTCCAACAAGTGAGCCTGAAGCCCAGATTACAACTCCAATATCATTTTATGGCCACCACGAGGACCACATCTGTACCTTGGTGATTAATTGTGATACCCCAATTTATCACATGGTTGGTTGTATATTATTTAACTAGGAAAAATGTTTAATCTTTATATGCAAAAAAATTGAATTGGTTGTACTACGTTTTGAACCCCAAACACTTCTTTTGCAATCTCAAAATCCTTACCATCATGCCATCACAACTTTCATCTCATTATTCTTATTTGATGATATGTTACTTTACTATTAAAACTATTTTATATGTAATATATATAGAAATATATACATTTGAAGATTATGTATAGATTATATTTGTATGTAATATACATGTACTGTACGTACATATGCTACTTACTATTATTATGTTTTGGAAAAGTATATATTTTGGAGAAATCAAATGTTTTGGGAGAAAAAGATATTTTGAGGAATTTGTATTATCTCTATATTATGGACTAAAAATGATTTTGGGTAAATTGTGTGGAGAAAAAATTATTTTGGAGGAAAATAATTTGGAGAAAATTATTTATTTTTGGAGAACATGTTATTTTTGGAGAAAGGTATTTATTTGTGGAGAAAAGAATTATTTTAGAGAAACTAGAATATTGTGTGGTGTTCAGTAAAAGAGAGTTACTGTTCACTTGAACCAATTACTACTGATTGGGCTTAGAATCCCATGAGGGTGTATCACATAAGTTATGATCCAGTTTCGAAAATGTATGAGTATGTGGTAGTAGGTAGTGAAACCTGACTACTTGGATCATATACTACCCAGTGGCAATTTATACCATACACCTCGGCGTATAGCGCTATGTGCGCCCAGCATCAAAACGATGCCGTATGGAATTGTTTCGTAACGGACTTTTTTTATTAGTCTGTTAACGTCGTCAAATGGTAAGAAGAGGGAAGTGAGAGAGCGGCTCTAAAGAGATGGTGTCGTCGCGCCGATCATGCATATTGGATTAGAGAACACGAGAGCGATTTGATTGTTTGATTTGCGTCGTATTCTGCAATTATTGGATGTAAGCCATGTATGATTCGATTGCGCAGCAGGATATGGCGGAGATAGAGCATACAACTGATCCTGTTGGAGTGGTAGATACAGAGGATGCTAATCCAGGTATTTGATTTTTAAGATTTTATTTTGTATTTTTGTTTGATGTATGATGAATATATTGAACTCGCCATTGAATTATATAAGAATTGATATAGAATTGCTGTTTGATTGTGGTTGTTTTGGATGTTAGTATGGTTTGATTTGAAGTTGTTTCAGGGAGGTTGTACGTGTATTTTGATTTGTTCGTTTTATGATTATGTGTATTGTGCCATATGTGTATGTGTATTGTAGTTATGGATTATGTACATTAACAGTATGGGATATAGGTTTTATGTATTTTTATGATTATGTGTATTGTGCCATATGTTTATGTGTATTGTAGTTATGGATTATGTACATTAACAGTATGGGTAGTTAAACTGTATGTGATTTGCAGCTGATCAGGATTTGGTAGGGATGTCAGTGTGTTCGGTTGATGAAGCATATGACATGTATAATGATTATGCTTTTAGAGTAGGTTTTAGTGTGAGGAGGGGTAAGCAAAGATATAATTCTGCTACAAAAACAATGAAGACGAAGATGTTCCATTGTTCGAAGGATGGATTTAAAAGGAGTACATGAAAAGGGTGTTATTCTAAAATTGATGGTCGTACAGGTTGTGGTGCATTTGTCCAATTCGATTTACATGAGAATGGAATGTGGATTGTTTCGAAGCATGAGAAGTTGCATAATTATGAATTGGTTCCACCAAGCAAGAGTTACCTTCTAAGGTCACATAGGATGGTGTCTAGGAATCATATATCCTATCTTACTGATTTGAAGAGCAGTGGTGTGTCTGTTGCAGATGGTGTAAGATTCCTTAAAACACAATCAGGGGGATCACCACTTGTTGGGTTTACAAGTAGGGATGCATATAACTCTCTATGTACCGATGCATTGAACAGATTGGATGGCACCGATTCAAACACATTGATTGAAATATTCAAATGGAGGCATTCGAGTGAAAGGGATTTTTACTTTGAATTTGAGGTGGATTTGGAATCAAGTTTGTGTAGTTTTTTTTGGAGGGATGGATGGATGAGGAGAGACTATGATTTGTTCGGAGACTTGTTAGTTCACGATACAACATATCGTACTAACAAATATGACATGATTTGTGGACCTTTTGTTGGCATGAATAACCATTGCATGAATGTTATGTTTGGATGCGGTTTTTTGATGAATGAGATGATTGAGTCATTTGTATGGTTGTTTAAGAAATTTTTGAGATCTATTGATTACAAAAGTCCACAAGGCATAATGACTGATCAATGTGCTGCTATGGCTGCTGCAATTGTTCAAGTTTTTCCAAGTTCACAACATCGGCTATGTATATGGCATATTGGCGAGAACTCAAAGAAGCACATTAAAGGGTTAATAAATCAAAAAGATTTCCTAGATATATTCAATTGCTTGTTGAAGTATACGGATACAGAGGCAGAGTTTGAATTTTACTGGACAAGGTACGTGTCTGATGTATGCTTCGTTATTTTTTTTTTGTTTTTATTATTAGTTTATATATGGATTATCATTGAATTAATATTTGTAGATTATATTATACAGAATACAGAATTAATTTTTTGGATCAAGTTTATGTGTATATGTTTGATAGTTTATGTGTATTCATGTATAAGATTATGTACATTAGTCTGTTCTGTATGTTATATCCTGACATGCTTGTAGGTTTACTTTAATATATCTATGGCATGTTATTTCAGGATGGTTACAACATATAAATGTCACAATAATCATTGGATTGAAAAGTTGTATGGGTTTAGAGAAAATGGTGTCCTGCTTTTAATAAAGATTATTTTTCTGGTGGGATTTTATCTTCTCAAAGCAGTGAGACCACCAATCACTCTATTTCTAGAAGGTTGTCCAAGACATCTGGTTTGTGTGATTTTTATAACTCATTTGTTGGGGTCATATCAGAGTGGAGAAGTAGAGAGAATGGGGAAGGTGTTCGTTGTTCACAAGGTGTACCCACAATGGTGATGGATAATGTTAAGATTCTATTGCATGCTAGGGAAATTTATACAATTGAGATATACTATTTGTTTGAAGAACAATTTTTGAAAGGTGGATCACGCTATCAAGAGTGTGTGATGTTGGAAGATGGTGTGTATAAGTATCATGTCTGGAGGCTGGATGTTGATATTATTAGGCATGAAGTGATCTTTAACAGTAGACAAATGGACATTGGATGTAGTTGCAAGTTGTTTACTGAATTGGGGATTTTGTGTTGTCATTGTTTACGCATTCTAAATGTGCATTGTGTTTCTAAAGTCCCCGAGAAGTATATTTTGAAGAGGTGGACTAAAAAGGTTGTTGAAGTTGATAATGTTGATACAATGTCTAGAGTTGACAGTGGTAATGATGCATATTCTGTTTGGTTATTAGAAATTATTAGGAAATTTCAGAGGCTTGCTATTTATAGTCAGGAAAATATCGAAGGACGGAAGATTTGTGAAGAAGCAATTGCAGATGCAAAGAGAAGACTTGAAGCTGAATTTGGTGGCAGTTTATTTGAAGATTGTGACATAGGATCGACAAGTGGTGTTATAAAGGATCCATCTACTAGGCGGATGAAAGGGTTGCGGAATGGGAGGATGAGCAGCGTTATTTCAAAGAAATATAACAAAGCAAGGGGACGGAAGCATCTTGCAAATATGGTTGCTTCCAAAATAAAATCTGCTGTTCAGTCTCAAGCTGAGGGTGATATTTTAAATATTGCAGGCGATGGATATCTTGTGCACCCAAGTTCCGGAGGTTCTAGTTTTTGTCACGTTAGCACAATGTCAAGCATGGAGGATAATTAAAGCACATGTTAGTGTTAATCATCGTAGTTATATGTATCATGTATAGAATGATCTTAAATCACATAACTCAGCAGTAATAAAATAGACTTTTATTATGATATGTGCTGTTTTAAAAGTTTATGTGTATTCATTATATACTTTATGTGTATTCACTATATACTCTATGTATATTACTTTATATGATTATGTACATTTTAATTTGTGTTAATTACTTTTATATATTTATGTACATTTCTTTTTTAGATTTGCAGTTATCAGTATAGGGAAATGAAATGCTTGGTCATATGTGTATTATGTACATGTTTACATTCAGTAGGATGTTTGATTGTATATATTACCAGAAACAAAATATTTGTTAGACTTTTTTTAGTAGTATGTGCACTATTTGAAAGTTTATGTGTATTCATTATATGGGTTATGTGTATTACTTCATATGATTATGTACATTTTTTGATAGTTCATAGTTTGTGTAGTATATGCATTGATTATGCACAAAACCATATTGGGGAATATGAAGAATATAGAATACAAGTAAACATTAGATTGGATTACCAAAAGGAGCATATACAAATTTTTGATAATTGTTTATCAACTGAAACTTCCAGAAATTGAACAAAAGATACAGGTAACCCTGAGTTTGGATTAGCAGAATTGATTTTTACAGATTGTGGTTAGTAGTTTCACTTCTATTTCTTGTAGTTGTCCCTTGCTGATTGCATGACTGTTTCCATGTATTCGTTTTTCTTCCACATGATGATGTTTGCTGCATATTTTGCTCTAAGCGATGTAATGAAAGCAGCCTACAGTAAACAAAAGATACATGTTAAAATTAGCAGAAACAAGAGATAACATGTGTAATGTAGAACAAAGTTAATTATTACTTACATCACTATCACCCCCTACGAAACCAGTTTCCCACTTGTCTACCGCAGTCCCTTTGTAAGTTTCCATGTGGCGCCTGCAATACACACCACAATCTGTTGTGTTCTCTTCATCTTGCCATGGCATGTGAATGCACTCAGCTTCAATATTCTTCACTTTCCTTGCAAGGGAGTTTTTCTTCGTTTGGAGGTATTTGTAGAAATTTGTTTTCTGCACATTATAGTAATTGCATCGCGCTAGACATCGCGCTCGACTACTCAACACTTGAAAGAACACAAAGATAAACATCGGGGCGACGCTCGGTCAGCGAAAGATGCTGGTAACCCACCAATACCGTTAAGTATCATAAATAGGTATATATAAGATATAAAAACCATTTTCGAAATGGAATACATATATATAAGTCAAAAGCCAAGATCAAAAGACAGCACAAGACTCACCACTCACAAGGATAACACCGGGAACACATCCCAAACCACAAAGGTTAACCACACACAAGGATAAAGACTCACCCAACGGCAACACATGCCAAACAACACAAGCCTCCGTGACTACACACGTCACGAGAGAAGATCACACAACAATGACTACACAAGCCCTCGTGACATCACCCATAACGAGTTGATATGCCTTCCTTATGCCCTGTTCCAACCTTAGTGTAAGACCCCGTGTTACGATCCCTAAAACCAATTAATCATTTAACCAAATTACCCAAAAGAAAGAATTAAATCACAATAATTAATTAGGAAAGGCCCACCATAGTCCACGAGCCCTCATCCCTAAACACAAACTCTTAATTCCAAAAGGAATAGAATTAGCAAGCCTATAATATTAGTTCCTAACCAGGACTCCTAAATATATAAAAAGGGGACTTAAGAGGCACCTAGAACCCCCCCACCACAATAAACGACTTACCACCCCAAAGAGCTCCAAGAATTCCCTTAGAAGAAATCAAGAAAGCAAGAAAGCTTAAAGAAAGACCCTTCATAGCCAAGGAATTAATTAAGGCTAAGAGGTAACCCACGTCTGAACAAAACCTATTTTCATAGCTATGATTCCCCTCTTAGGATTTCCCCATATTATTGTGTATTGATGATTGTGATATTATTATTGATGATTGGTGGGATGATTCCATGGGTGATCTTGATGATGAGAGGTTCTTGATAATTATGGTGTTCTTGATATTTATATGATGTTCTTGATAATTGTAAGATGTTCTTGATGTTTATGTGATATTCTTACCGAATCTTGATATTAGAAGATGAATTGTGTCCTTGTTGATTTAAAAGTGATTAGAACCCTAGATTGTATCGTATGATATCATTCTAGGTATATGGGGTGGGAATTTGCATGATTGGGTGTTGATTATGTTTAGAAAAGCATGATAGGTTATGTGCCGTATGTTTCTTGATTTTGATTCGTTAATTGTCTACGTGTGTTATCAATTGCGTTTGAAAGTGTCTAAGCATGGTTTCGGGTTCCACAAAGGTTCCCGGGACGTTTTTGTGATGAAAGAGTCAGTGGGCGGTAGGTGGGGGTAGGGGACCCGCCACCTACCCGCGGCCTTCTTGGGCAACGCCGGCAGCGGGCAGCCGGCGGGCGGGCTGCTGCCCGCCGGGCACCCGCTGCCCGGATTTGCTACCGCCGGCGGGTGATCCCTCACACACCGGCTACCCGCTGGTTTGAACCCCACTTTGGGATTTTGGCTTCCCCGTTTGATGTTCCCCCGACCCCCGTGGTGTCCCAACGGACTCCGTCTATCGTGCCTATGTCTAGTTTGATATTTCGGGTACCGTTCGTAGGTTGTATGAGTCTTATATATTACATGCTAGTTGAATTAGTATCCCGTTGACCTAGGTGGAAGAAGTATGAACCCCTTAGGATTATTCTTAGTATGTGAAGGATCACGCATAGGTTTTGTTGTACGTTTTCTCCCCCTTCCCAATGTGTTAATGTGGGTTGCATGTGCTTGCTATGTGTTATGTGTGCATGATAGCCCAATTCGGTTGCGATCGGATTGGTTATTCCTGAGCTGCGGTTCAGAAGCTGGCTGCGGTCAGATTTACACTCTTGGGCTGCGGTCCACTGTTTGGTTGCGATCAAACGTTTCTACATGAGCTGCGGTTCATACTTTCCTGGTTGCGGTCAGATGACATACTCTTGGGCTGCGGTCCACTGTTTGGTTGCGATCAAACTATGATGAGCTGCGGTTCATCGGTCGGTTGCGATCGACCCCTCCGTGTTGCGATACGGGGCAGGGTGCTGCGGGGCCGTGTCAGAGCTATATGCGCTGACCCTCATGTATGGGCATGCGATTGGTCCTGTGGCGCAAACAAAGTGTGTTATGTGATGGGAAATGGAGGAGTTGTTGTTATGAGTGCCTTGGGGATGTGACTATGGGATTCTTATTGGGAATCGTATATGTTGGTTTATGATTATTAATTGTGCTTATGTTATCTGCCTTGCCTGTTGTAAACTGTATATGCTTGGTATAACTGCTGTCGGTACTTAACCCTATCTGCTGAGTCTATCCCTGTTTTAAAAGCTAGAGTTGGTAGGATATATCTCCATGCTCAAAATGGTTTTCGTATATCTCCATGTTCACAATTTTGTTTCCTTGTTACCTTCGTTTTAACTCGTTGTACCCAAGTTTCGGGGACGAAACTTCTTTGAAGGGGGAGAGGATGTGACACCCCAAAAATCCACACTCCAAAGCATGAATTAATTGAGTAATTAATTCTATTTCTCTTGAGGAATTGATTCCTAAAATCCTGATTTTTGATACTCAAGGACTAGTATTTGACTAGTCAATCTTTAAGTTGTGTTGTACCTTGTGCTTAGAGAGGAGTTCCCTTGTTCCTTACACTTTCTAAGAGTTAGTAAGGGTATCATTGTCTTTTCACTAAGAGTTAGTTTTGTAACCTAAACCTAGAAGACTTCTTCATTTTCATCCCTTACAATTCCTAGAAAATATCTCTACCTTCTCTCTAGAAAAGAAGAGTGGCTTGTTCTTCAAGCCAAGTGAGACTTTTGTCAAGATTCCAAGTTTTGCTTCCAAGATTCAATCTTTCACCTATTTGGGCATCTAGAAGGGTAAGATCTAAGCTTGTCTAGTCTTTTTGGTTCCATCTTAGTTGTCTTTTTCTTAAAGGTAGGATCTTTATGATCTTTTGGTTTGATCTTGAAGTGGGTTTGACTAGGGAGCTTAGTGGAGAGCTTGTTGTGGTGTAAGAAGAGTCTTTTGGTCTTCAAGAGGTAACCCATGCTCTACAAAACCTATTTTTCTTACCTATATATGATTTCTTGGCTTCTATTTGTGTTTTGTTATGAAATGTGAGAGTTTATACATTTATCTTGTGATATTGCATATCTAGAGCTTGTGTTTAGGATTCCTTTGTGCCATTGCTTGACATTTTCCATGGTTCAAGTCATTTTGTTGTGTCTGGTGAATGTGGGTGTAGTTCCGGATCCTGCTGTTGTCCTATTTTGATTTCCTCGAAGAGTGTAGGTATGATTTGCGTGTTGAATAAGTGGACGTCGGGGTGGACTTGATCTTGCTCTATTATTTCCAAATTCAGTCTCTGGAATTCCTTGTACAACTGGTCCGGTATGATCCAGGTGGTGTTGAGGGAGTGGCTAGTCTTTCTGCTTAGGGCGTCTGCCACAATGTTAGCTTTCCCTTCGTGGTATTGGATGTCAAGATCGTAGTCCTTTATGAGTTCTAGCCACCTTCGTTGTCTCATGTTTAGGTCTTTCTAGGTGAAGATGTACTTTAGTAGTCCTTTTTCATGAGTTTGTTGAGGGGTTGGGCTTGAAACACCCCGTGTTACGGCCCCTAAAACCATTTAATTAATTAATTAATAGCCCAAAAGAAAGAATAAATTATAACTAATTAGGGAAAAAGGCCCACCATAGTCCATGGGCCCTCATATATAAACCCAACCCCTAAACCCAATCCTTAGTCCCAAAAGGAATAGAATTAGCGAGCCTATAATATTAGTCCCTAATTAGGACTCCTAAATATATAAATAGGGGACTTAAGAGGCACCTATGACTCCCCACACGTCTAAACGCCCCACCACCCCAGGAGAGCTCCAAGAATTCCCTTAGAAGAAAGCAAGAAAGCAAGAAAGCTTAGAGAAAGACCCTTCATAGCCAAGGAACTAATTAAGGCTAAGAGGTAACCCATGTCTCAACAAAACCTATTTTCATAGTTATGATTCCCCTTAGGGTTTCCCCATATTATTGTCTATTAATGATTGGTGATGATTATTATTAATGATTGATATAATGATTCCATGAGGAATCTTGATAATCTTGATGTTGGGAGATTCTTGGTAATTATGGTGTTCTTGATTCTTACATGGGGATCTTGATGATTAATTGGAATTCTTGATGATTATGTGATGTTCTTGATAATTGTGTGTTGTTCTTGATGCTTATGCGTTATTCTTACTGAATCTTGTAATTAGAAGACGAACCGTATTCCTGTTGATATAAAAGCGATTAGAACCCTAGGTTGTATCGTATGATATTATTCTTGGTTTATCGGGTGGGGAAATCGCATGTTTGGGTGTTGATTATGTTTAGAAAAGCATGATAGGTTATGTGCCGTTCGTTTCTCGTATTTGATCCGTTAATTGTCTACGTGCTGTCGTTAATTGCGTTGTAAAGTGTCTAAGCATGGTTTCGGGTTCCACAACGGTTCCCGGGGTGAAATTATGTGATAAGAGTCAGTGGGGGGTAGGTGGGGGGGTGGGGGCCCGCCACCTACCCACGGCCGGAAATAGTATATCCGGCAGCGGGCGGGCAGCTGCCCGCAGGCGACCCGCTGCTCGGAACAGTATGTCCGGCGGGCAGCCGGCGGGTGGCCCCCCCACCCACCGGCTACCCGCTGGAAATTCCCCCAACCCGGGATCCCGGCTTCCCCGTTTGATGTTCCCCGTTCCCCGTGGTGTCCCAACGGACTCCGTTTATCGTGCCTATGTCTAGTTTGATGTTTCGGGTACCGTTCGTAGGTTTATGAGTCTATTATATTGCATGCTAGTTGAATTGGTATCCCGTTGACCTAGGTGGAGGAAGTATGAACCCCTTAGGACTATTCTTAGTAAGTGATGGATCACGCATAGGTTTTGTTATACGTTTTCTCCCCCTTCCTAATGTGTAATGTGGGTTGCATGTGCTTGCTAGGTGTTATGTGTGTGTTACCCCAATTCGGTTGCGATCGGATTGGTTATCCTGAGCTGCGGTTCAGAAGCTGGCTGCGGTCAGATTGACACTCTTCGGCTGCGGTCCACCGTTTGGTTGCGATCAAACGTTTCTATACGAGCTGCGGTTCGTCCTTTTTCCTGGCTGCGGTCAGATGACATTCTCTTGGGCTGCGGTCCACTGTTTGGTTGCGATCAAACACTATGATGAGCTGCGGTTCATCGGTCGGTTGCGATCGACCCCTCCGTGTTGCGATACAGGGCAGGGTGCTGCGGGGCCGTGTCAGAGCTATATGCGCTGACCCTCATGTATGGGCATGCGATTGGTCCTGTGGCACCAACAAAGTGTGCTATGTGTTGAGATATGGATGAGTGGTGATCATGAGTGTCTTGGGGATGTGACTACGGGATTTATGTTGGGGATTGTTGGTGTTGAGTTATGATTATGGTTATGCTTTGCCTTATCTGCCTTATCTGTTGTGAACTGCATATGCTCGTTATAACTGTTGCTTGTGTCTGGCCTTACCTGTCGAGTCATTCCCGGTTTTAAAGCTAGAGTTCGTAGGATATATCTTCATGCTCAAAATGGTTTTCGTATATCTATATATATCTCTATATGTAATGTATTTCAACGCGTTGGAGTGGGTTACCAGCATCTCTCGCTGAACAGATATATTTGGCTTTCAGGCACAGAGGACTAGAGCACTGGAGCGCGCTAGAATTGGAGCGTAGAAATAGATTAGTTTCCCTTTCGGCCTGCATGCCATACTATGCATTGTGTTTCAATGGATATTAGTTAGACAGCCTGTGCACCTGGGTTCTCTAGCCCAGGTGTGGCATAGCACCCCGTACACTTATGATATACTTTGGGATGTAATGAGATATTACCTTTATTATATAAGCTTAAAATGTCTTGAAAATCTGGGGTGTTACAGTTGGTATCAGAGCCTAAGTTTGACCCTAGGAAAAGACTCGTAAGACCAGACTTTAGGACATTAGGCTTGAACTCCAGGTACCTAGGAACATAGGACTCAGGAATCTTAGGACGCGCGGTGAGATTGTGAAACCTACACACAACTTCCCTACACCTTACCCTTCCTCATTCTAAAACCCTTCCCCACTTATCACTTCATAAGAAGTGCGTCAGACTCTAATTTAACATTCTTATGGAACACTAACCAGAAAGACGATAGCATGGCACCAAACAGAAGACAATCAAGAACTCCAGAGCCCACCACAGACGACCCCTTGACCCAATCCCTACAGCAGCTAACACAAGTCGCACAGGCACTAAGTGACGCGGCCCTTCGCAACAACAGGTCCCCACCACCTCCATCAAACGCAAACTCAGACGTCGCCCGACAAGTTTCAAATCACCGACCACCCACGTTTTCGGGAGAAGAGGATCCCGCGGTCCTGGAAGAATGGATCCGAACCCTTGATAAGATTTTTGGGGTAGTAGAATGACCGGAGGAACGCCGCGTAGAGATAGCCTCGTTCTACTTCGGACACGAGGCCGATCTCTGGTGGATCCACGAGGGGCCCACTTATCAACAAGAACCAGGATTCAATTGGGAGAACCTCAAGACACGACTACGAGAGAGATTCTATCCAACCCACGTAAAAGCATCCATGTACGAGGAGTTCCTTCATCTAAAACAAGGAACGGCCACCGTCATAGAATACCATAAGCGATTCCTCGAGCTGGCACGCTTCGCGCCAGAGCTAGTCCCCACCGAGGTAACCAAGATAGAGAGATTCGTGTCAGGCCTCAACTTCGAAGCTCGAAAGGCGCTAGTGGTAAGCAGACCTCGAACACTCAACGAGGCTTACTCCAGTGCCGCGAATCTCTATCGAATCCAACTACTCCAACGCGGAGTTCAGGAACAAATACGAAGAAGAAACACTGGAAGTGGGGCACCGCCGATGAAAAGAACGAGAAACGACACCGGCACAAGGTCGAACAACCCGACCAACCAAAGACCGCCCCTGGGAAACAACGAAGCTAATCCAAGAGGCTTCCCTTGCCCGAGATGCAACAAAAGCCACAGGGGCAAGGATTGCGCGGGCAACCCCTGGCAATGCTTCAATTGCGGAGAGGAAGGACACAAGGCCTTCCAGTGCACTCAACCCCAAAGACCACGCCCCACCACCGTGGGTCAACACGGGGGCACCGGCCATCAAGGGAGTTACGGCGCTCCCGGGAAGGTATTTGTCATGAGCCACACTCAAGCCAACCTCGGAAACGAAGAAGACCTAGAGGGGGAAAACCCAACCCCGGAAGACGAGGACCATACGGATCCCACCGAAGAAAACCCAGAAAACGAATTCTGTCTAGGATAAACCATCACACCCCTTGTATCGTATGGACCACCTATTTAGCTTAAATACTTCGAAAACATTATGTCTATTTAGCTTAGCTACTTCGGAAGTATTATGAATAAGGATCTTTGGTCAAACTTCAATTTCCACTACGAAAATAAAGCACAAGTGATATCATTAACCCAACCCTTCCCCCACTAAAGGACAAATAAGGAAAAAGGACAAAGGAAGACCACACCACCAAGAAATGCCTAATGTCACCATTAGGAATTGAACACTAGACCTCACATTTACAAGTCCAAGTCCCAACCACCAAACCATGAGTGTTTCTTGAAACCATAAGGGAACACTCCCTTAATAAACCTCTCCAAATCCCTAAAACCCATAAAATCCCCAAATCATAAACCCTTATCCTTCTTCCCCAAATCACCCAAACCCCCCTCTTCCCTCTCTCTCACGCCCCCCCTAACCTTCACCGGCCATCCACCGTAGAAGCGCCGCCACCACGCAACGCCGCCCAACCAAACGCCGCCGCCGGCCGACAAACGACCGCCAGCCCGCGACGCCGCACCACCACCCGAAACCGGCCACCCCACTCCACCCGGTAGACGCCCAGCTCCAGCCCGCTGCCACCACCATCCGGCATCACTTGAAGACTGCTGCTGCCCCACCTCGCCGGACCAGCATCGGAGCCAGCCGCCGCCGTCCCCTCGCTCGCGACAACACCACGCCGCCGCGCCACCGCCCCAGCCGGCCGCCTCCCGTCGCCCACGGCGAACCCGACAGTAACCCGCTACCACGCAACACCAAAACGACACGGGGCTGCCGCCACCAGCACGCCGTCGCCTTCCCTCGCCAAATCGACGCCAGAAACGCTGCTCGCCGGCGTCTCCCGTGAAAACAAGCGAAAAACCGCCGCTGGAAACCCGCCGTAAAGCTTGCCGGAAAACCGCCGTCGCCGCCATGCCGGAAAAAAAGGAGTCGCCGGGAAACGTCACCAACAAACGATCATCACCATGCCAAAGAAACCTCTCGGAATTCGCACCCCGGAGTGGAGCAATGCCGATTACACCGTAATCGGAGGTAAAGCACTCGAATCCGACCAATTCTCTCCGGAATTGGTTGACATGCTTAGACATCAAGGGCTTTTAGATACTTACCTCGCCATCAAAGGGGACACATACCCCGAATTGGTGAAAGAATTCTACCAACACCTTGTGGCCACCAAACGGGGTGACAAAGTAGAAATTACCACCAAGGTCCGTGGCAAGGAAATTGTGCTTTCCGAAGGCCGGTTGGCCAAGCTCTTGAAATTGACCACCACGGGTGTGTCTAACTATGACCGAAAGGGGTGGATTGATACCCAAACTATGGGATACAAAGACTATCTCGGGTACCTACTCGGGAAAGAGGACGGGTTCACCTCGGCCACTCGACCCAACCGAAAGTGGCTATCGGCGGAGCAAAAGATATTGGTTATGATTATAACCGATAGCCTCTTGCCCACCAATAACAAGAGCAAGGATGTGGGGAGCTTGGAGTGCACCTTTGCGTATCTCCTAAAACATAAAATCAAGTTCAACCTGTCGGCACTCATGCTAAAGCACATAGAGTTCTGCAAAACAAACAACCGGCTTAGCCTACCTTACGGGATGATCCTAAGTTGGATCATGGAGAAAAAGGGGGTAGACCTAAGCCACACCGAGGTCAAAACCGCCAATGGCATGGTTTTCAATGCCCAAAACCTCCGCCGCAACGACATCTACTACATCGAAGGAGGACACTATCTCACCCTCGAAGAAATTTGCCAAAAACCCGATGAGGAACGTAGGGAATTGGTTGATCGGTTGGACATCTCCAACAAAAAGCTCAAGCGGGCCATGCAAGATTGGGGAGGCACGGAGGGAAATGAAGGACAAGAGGAAGACGGGCCTAACCCGTCAGTGCACCCACAGCCAGGAGAGAACGCGAGGGGGCAAGACGAGGGTTCGGTCAACGAACGCATACTCGCACAGCTCGACCGGCAGAATCAAATCATGGAAGAAGGGTTCTCATCCCTGATTCACACCACACGCACACTCGATCAAAGGGTAGCAGCGATCGAGGCCGCCTTGGGCACACGCGGTGCACCCAGTTCCAGCGCAGGAAACCGAGGTACAACCGAAAACTTCTTTATCACAACACCATCAAAAGTTCAGCCTACCCCAAGCCAAGACAAACGTAAGGCCGCAACCCTAATCAGGAGGCCGAGCTACGAGGTGTCTAGGGGTGAAAGGATGGACTATAACACCGGGCTTCGGGGACGAAGCCCCTTGTAAGGGGGGGAGAGTGTAACACCCCGTGTTACGGCCCCTAAAACCATTTAATTAATTAATTAATAGCCCAAAAGAAAGAATAAATTATAACTAATTAGGGAAAAAGGCCCACCATAGTCCATGGGCCCTCATATATAAACCCAACCCCTAAACCCAATCCTTAGTCCCAAAAGGAATAGAATTAGCGATCCTATAATATTAGTCCCTAATTAGGACTCCTAAATATATAAATAGGGGACTTAAGAGGCACCTATGACTCCCCACACGTCTAAACGCCCCACCACCCCAGGAGAGCTCCAAGAATTCCCTTAGAAGAAAGCAAGAAAGCAAGAAAGCTTAGAGAAAGACCCTTCATAGCCAAGGAACTAATTAAGGCTAAGAGGTAACCCATGTATCAACAAAACCTATTTTCATAGTTATGATTCCCCCTTAGGGTTTCCCCATATTATTGTGTATTAATGATTGGTGATGATTATTATTAATGATTAATATAATGATTCCATGAGGAATCTTGATAATCTTGATGTTGGGAGATTCTTGGTAATTATGGTGTTCTTGATGCTTACATGGGGATCTTGATGATTAATTGGAATTCTTAATGATTATGTGATGTTCTTGATAATTGTGTGTTGTTCTTGATGCTTATGCGTTATTCTTACTGAATCTTGTAATTAGAAGACGAACCGTATTCTTGTTGATATAAAAGCGATTAGAACCCTAGGTTGTATCGTATGATATTATTCTTGGTTTATCGGGTGGGGAAATCGCATGTTTGGGTGTTGATTATGTTTAGAAAAGCATGATAGGTTATGTGCCGTTCGTTTCTCGTATTTGATCCGTTAATTGTCTACGTGCTGTCGTTAATTGCGTTGTAAAGTGTCTAAGCATGGTTTCGGGTTCCACAACGGTTCCCGGGGCGAAATTATGTGATAAGAGTCAGTGGGGGGTAGGTGGGGGGGTGGGGACCCGCCACCTACCCACGGCCGGAAATAGTATATCTGGCAGCGGGCGGCCGGCGGGCGGGCAGCTGCCCGCCGGCGACCCGCTGCCCGGAACAGTATGTCCGGCGGGCAGCTGGCGGGTGGTCCCCCCACCCACCGGCTACCCGCTGGAAATTCCCCCAACCCGGGATCCCGGCTTCCCCGTTTGATGTTCCCCGTTCCCCGTGGTGTCCCAACGGACTCCGTTTATCGTGCCTATGTCTAGTTTGATGTTTCGGGTACCGTTCGTAGGTTTATGAGTCTATTATATTGCATGCTAGTTGAATTGGTATCCCGTTGACCTAGGTGGAGGAAGTATGAACCCCTTTGGACTATTCTTAGTAAGTGATGGATCACGCATAGGTTTTGTTATACGTTTGCTCCCCCTTCCTAATGTGTAATGTGGGTTGCATGTGCTTGCTATGTGTTATGTGTGTGTTACCCCAATTCGGTTGCGATCGGATTGGTTATCCTGAGCTGCGGTTCAGAAGCTGGCTGCGGTCAGATTGACACTCTTCGGCTGCGGTCCACCGTTTGGTTGCGATCAAATGTTTCTATACGAGCTGCGGTTCGTCCTTTTTCCTGGCTGCGGTCAGATGACATTCTCTTGGGCTGCGGTCCACTGTTTGGTTGCGATCAAACACTATGATGAGCTGCGGTTCATCGATCGGTTGCGATCGACCCCTCCGTGTTGCGATACGGGGCAGGGTGCTGCGGGGCCGTGTCAGAGCTATATGCGCTAACCCTCATGTATGGGCATGCGATTGGTCCTGTGGCGCCAACAAAGTGTGCTATGTGTTGAGATATGGATGAGTGGTGATCATGAGTGTCTTGGGGATGTGACTACGGGATTTATGTTGGGGATTGTTGGTGTTGAGTTATGATTATAGTTATGCTTTGCCTTATCTGCCTTATCTGTTGTGAACTGCATATGCTCGTTATAACTGTTGCTTGTGTCTGGCCTTACCTGTCGAGTCATTCCCGGTTTTAAAGCTAGAGTTCGTAGGATATATCTTCATGCTCAAAATGGTTTTCGTATATCTATATATATCTCTATATGTAATGTATTTCAACGCGTTGGAGTGGGTTACCAGCATCTCTCGCTGAACAGATATATTTGGCTTTCAGGCACAGAGGACTAGAGCACTGGAGCGCGCTAGAATTGGAGCGTAGAAATAGATTAGTTTCCCTTTCGGCCTGCATGCCATACTATGCATTGTGTTTCAATGGATATTAGTTAGACATCCTGTGCACCTGGGTTCTCTAGCCCAGGTGTGGCATAGCACCCCGTACACTTATGATATACTTTGGGATGTAATGAGATATTACCTTTATTATATAAGCTTAAAATGTCTTGAAAATCTGGGGTGTTACAGGGCTATCCTGGTGAAGTCGGGTACAAACCTCCTGTAGTAGCCAGCCAAGCCTAGGCAGCTTCGGACTTCTGAGAGTGAGCTCAGTGTGGTCCATTCCTTAACGGCATGGATTTTGGCGGGGTCCACCTTAATTCCTTCCTTGGCTTTCACGTGGCCTAGGAAGGCCACACTGTCTTTCCAGAATTGGCATTTAGTGAACTTGGCGTATAGTTGGTGCTCTCTCAGGGTCTGCAGGGTTATGCGGAGGTGTCTTTCTTGTTCTTCCTTGTTTCGGGAGTAGACTAGGATGTCATCAATGAATACAATGACGAAGTCATCCAAGTGGGGTCGGAATACCCGGTTCATGAGGTCCATGAATATGGCGGGTGCATTGGTGAGTTCGAAGGGCATTACTGTGAATTCATAGTGGCCGTAGCGTGTCCGAAAGGTTGTTTTCTGAATGTCTGGTTTGGCCACTTGTATTTGGTGATATCCGGACCTTAGGTCAATTTTTGAGAATACCCCTGCCCCTTTTAGTTGGTCGAACAAGTCATCGATACGAGGGAGGGGGTACTTATTCTTTATCGTGACCTGGTTAAGTTCCCGGTAGTCGATGCACAGGCGCACGCTTCCATCCTTCTTTTTAACAAATAGTACTGGCGCCCCCCATGGGGAGGTGCTGGGGCGGATGTATCGTTTATCCAGCAATTCCTGTAGTTGTGTTTTCAGTTCCTTCATTTCTTTTGGTGCCAACCTGTAGGGTGGTTTAGAGATCGGGGCAGCGCCGGGTAAGAGGTCTATGGTGAACTCGACATCTCTGACTGGGGGTGCCCCGGGGATTTCGTCCGGGAAGACGTCGGTGAATTCGTTTACCACTAGAATGGTTTGTGGTCCGGGGGTTTTGGCGTTGAGGTCCTCGACCGGGCATAGGAAGGCCTCGCTTCCCTTGGTTAGGTATTTCTTCATTTTCATCATGTTCACCAATTTGATCCCTGATTCCTGGGGGGTCCCGCGGTGTGATACCCTTTTACCGTTTGGACCCCGTAGGACCACTTCTTGTTCTCCGCATAGGATTTGCGCTTGGAATTTCCCTAGCCAGTCCATGCCCAAGATCACTTGTACCCCATCTAGCTTGAATTGTATTAAATTGCTGGGAAATTCCACCCCTTGGATGGTAATCATTACGATCTCGTACATGCGGTCGCATTTTATGATTTCGCCGGATGCCACCTTGACCTGAAGTCGGACCTTGGTGCTGGCGTTGAGGTCGAGCTGAGTGGCAAACTCGGTTGTTATAAACGAGTTGGTAGCCCTT